CCCCCCCCCTCCTCCCGTCCTCTAGCTCCCACCACGCGGGCCTAGACCACGTGTCGTCGCGCTGGTCAGCAACCCGACACCGCGCGGCGCCGGCGCGACACGACGACGCAGCGCGCCGGTGCATCTGGACCGCCGCGACACCTCCACACCGTGTCAGACACCATTGAGGGCGAGGCGAGCGGGGACAGGACCCCGGGCAAGGTCACCTCGCCGGAGAGAGCACGCCGAGCACGTCCTCGTGGCGAGCCGAGCAGAACAGAGTGTGCGTTGGTCTGGTGGCCCCGCCACAGGCCCCGGCCAGGAGCTGTTATCAAAAACCAACAACGCGCGTGTGTGTGCTCAAAGGGGGACGGCGGCGGCCTGGGCCCGATGCACCGGAGGAGGGGGAAGGGGGAAGCAGCGGGGCACAACGAGGCCGACGACGACGACGTCCTCGGGGGCTGCGGAAGCAGAAGAACCATAACCAGGCCGCCAACAGAACCACGGCCACGGCTGTCGATAAGAGAACAGTCACACCAGAAGTGCAGAGCGCTCAGGGACGGGCCCTAGAGCAGCCCCGCCCCGGGCACCAGAGGGCACCAGCGGGGCCCCGAGGGGGCTGGCTGGCGGGCCAGCGGACATTCCAGGAACCAGGCTGGGGCCGGGGGCAAGGCCCCACCACCGCCCTTTTGGAGCTCTACCGGTTACCTGTCGATGTCGAGGACCGCGAGGTCTCCGACGACGTCCACCTGGTCACCCTGGAGGAGGGCCATCGTTGTAATTAGCCAATCGGGCAGCACCGCCCGGAACGGTCCTGACCCGACAGCCGTTTGTAAAGCTGATGGCCACGACACGTCCATTTACAAGCGACAAGGCCCACGAGGCGATAACGGCCCCATCCCCCTCTCCACCTCCGGGGCCCCACCGCCCAGGTAGAAGGGCCAGCGCTGCTCAGCCTGGGCCAGCGATAAAATGCTGGGACAACTGAATCTCGAGCAGCACGGCGTGGCGGGGCGTGGCGCTGGGGCCCGACGGCCTATTAGGGGCAGCCTTACGGCGCGATGACACGCTGCTTGTGCTCCTGGAGGTGAGTGAGCAGCCCGGCCCCCGCGGGCCCCGCGCCCCAGCCCCGCCGCCACTGAAGGATGGGAGTTGGCGGCTCCGACTCGACCTTGGACTCGGTCAGGCATCTTGAGAAAGGGAAACCACCATGCCCCTCCGCCGCGGGCCGCCACCTCACCTTCCGCCACGCCCCGCCACGCCGCTGCAACCAGTCTAGCGTGGCGGCGGCAGCGGGCCCCCGAGGGGTCCAGGAGGCGCGCCCGCCCGCGTCCCAAACACCGTGACAGCGGACGCGCGCGCCGGCGTCCTGGAGGACCTCGTCGAGCTCACCGACGACGACGACGGCGAAGGCGGGGTGGTGGTGCGTCCCCGCGAGGCTGCAGGCAGGCGGTCGATGAACGGGCCGCGGGGCCCGCCGCCACCGCCGCGGTGGGACGCAGACCGGGGCGTGGCGGAGCGTGGCGGTCGAATCTATTCCGAGAGACAATCGGCCCCGCGACACCGCGAACACGCTGAGGCCACCGCCCCGCCCCGCGCCAGGAAGCGCGAGCAGCATCAGCAGCGGCACCGCCCCGGCGGTGGAGTGGGTACTTAGCGCCTGGCCGGTCATTAATCGGGCCCTGCTGGACCAGGTCCTTCCAGACTTTATACATGCAGGTTCCTGGGGCCAGCAGTGCTGGACTGGTCCTGGGCCCCCGGTCTCCCCCACCGCCCCCCGGCAGCCGTGCGATCCGCCTCGACGACTGGCCGCCCCCGCGGAGCACAGCGAGTGCGGCGGTATAACCTCAGCCTTGAGCCTTGAACCTCGCATGAAGGCATTGGCTAGCTCGCCTCGCTTCGCCGGCCGGCTCTCTGACTGGCGCGGCCGGGCGCGGCGCGGCGACCGGCTGCTGCTCCCTCTCCACCGCCAGCGCCACGACCTGGGCCAACACCCAGCACATCACAAGTGCAGTCTGCCCCCGCGCGCGCACAGCCGCGGCAGCCTCCCGCGCGCCCCGCCAAGCTTTCGCGAGGCAACGTGAATGAACTCTTTATCAGGGGGAACAACTCTGGTGATAAGTGCCCTCCCAGCCGCCCCCAACCCTCCCCTCTCCCGCCTCTACACCGGCTGCCTGGGTACCCCTGGAGGAAGCCCCTCCAAACCGCACCAGGACTCTCCTACCCTGACAGGGGACATGACCGCAAAAATTATAAGAACGAAACAAAAACTCTCACACGAAATGGCCTTCGGAAAGGCTGAAGGGCCGCTTCCTCGAGTCGCCACATCCTTCCAATTGAATTGATCCTCCCGGCCGCGTCACGTCACGGCCCGCGCCCCCGCACCTGCCGCCTGTCGTTACACGGCGCCCCCGCACTTCCTCAGCCTTACGGAGGGTCCCCGCCCCGCCCCCGGGCCTCGCCCTCCTCCCCCTCCTCGTCGGGGTGATTACGGCCAGAGCGCAGCAAAACTGCCAAAAAGCGCCGCCGCCGCCGGGTCCGGTCGGGTGTCCTGGCGGCGGAGCCGGTGGTGCCGCCTGCAGCGCCGCAGGACATCAATCGCACCGCCCTCCCCCAGCAGCGAGGTGTTCCGCTCTGATAGGAGGGTCCATCGAGGACCCTACACCACACACTCCTCGAGGACAGGATTACGCCACATACGTCGGCGGGGCGGTCAATCTCAGGTGGGCGTAAGAGGATTACAACAGTGCCCTGCCCTGCGCGCACACGCCCCCCTCCACGCCGCGCTCGCACGTGAGCGCACGCATCAAAACAATATCAGGCTTATCACCGTATCAGGTAGCAGCGAGACGCGACTCAGCAGCGCGCTATGGAGATAGGCCCTACGGCTGGCTCGGGGGCCACGCCGGCCCCGCCGCGGCAAGGAGCCTCGGAGGAAGTTGTTGTCACGTACAGGCGTGAAGAAACCCCCTCCCTCCTACCCGCACCGCCCCAACCGACTATTCGGCGCACGTTTCCTGTACGCCGTCGGCGGTCCACCGATATCCTGCCCACATTAACACATGACATTGCGCGGCACCCATTCCGATAAAGCGCGCCGAGGACAACATTTCGCACGGCTGGGCCCTGGTGGGAGAGGGGGTGGGGGCAGCAGTCCAGGAAAACAGTTCACACGAGACGCCGGCCGGCAGGGCAGGGTCGGGGCCAGTCACCTCAAACGCCAAAAACGAAAAATCGAAGAGCGAGGTTAGGCTGCTGGGCCGAGTTATACGGTTGGGTTTGGAACCCCGACATCTGCTGGGCTGGTCTACAGCCTCTTTGTTGCAGTATTTTCTTCTTTTTCGTCTCTGCGGCAGGCGGCAGCCCGGCCCGGGCCCAGGCCCGTCCGTGTGTCTGTCCGCCCGGCCGCCAGGCCCGCCCGCCTCCTGCCTGCTGCTGCTCCGGCCCGGCTCGGCTCGGCCCGACCCCCAAAGCCCAAAGTCAGGCCCGGCCGCGCTCCGCTCGGCTCGGGTTCGTTTTAGAGGGGTTTCCGGTGAGAAGTCGGCTAGAGGACAGGAGGATACCGACCGCTGCTGGCAGCTGCCCTGGGCCCCAGCCTTGGGGCCCCCCAACGGCCCCCACAGCCCCCTGAAGCCCTGCCTGACGCCCCCCGTCCCCGATAATTCACGTCACACCGGCACGTCACACTCGCCGGCGCGGGTGTCACTACCGTCACAGCGCCGCTACATGACTAATCACGCAACGTCACACGCCGTGCCGCGCGGTGCGGTACTACTCGGTCGCGACACTTCTCGGCCACGAGATATAAATCCCGACACGGCTTCCGAGAAGAGAAGTAAACCTAGAGCCCTACCGGCCGGCGCGGCGCGGCGTGGCGTGGCGCGCAGCAGCAGCAGCGCAGCCACAGCGCCCGGCCCGGCCCGCCGGCACCGAAGGACAAGACACAACAGGCCGAGAACGATTCCAAGAACTACGCCGTCGGTCGGAACCACTGCGTTCAATATTGGACACCTAGGGCGTCCAGTATCGCGCGCTGTCGGCTAAACTGTCACCCCCGAAGTAGTGTTGTGACAGTCTGCCAGCGGGGCCGCGCTCATCTCCATCTCGCGACAGGGGGCAGCGCGAGCCGCTAGGCCCCACGGAAAAACAAATCTACAAGACGCGCAGCCGAAGAACTGGCATGGCATGCATGACAAGGCAAGCAAAAGAATAAAGACAGCAAAGGCAATAGGTGACAGTTAATCCTTGAGAACGCAGGGTGGCATGGCAACTGCTCCGAGTCTGGAATTTTCGTGTTGCAACCGGTAGAGATGGCAGCCCAGCCGCTGTGACAGCGAAGCGAACTGAAACCGGCGCTGTCGTCAACAGAACTCCAGTTTCTCACCAACGACGGAGATCCGTTCACAGGGTATCAACTCGGGGGAGAACAAGAGAGGGGGTAAAAGGGGTGGTGGCGCAGCACTGCTTCATGTAAGTCCATCCGTGATCGATAGCCGGGCAATCACTTTGCAGGTCGCACAGTCACTCACTTATCACAGTCCACAGAGATCACTGACACTTGTCACTCGCGTTGTCGTAAAGATGAACACCACTTATATCCACAGAACGAAGGCAGAAGGAAGGTCTCGCATTTTTAATCCAGTCACGAAACTTACCTTGTCGGCCGACAATTTCGGCGACATGCTCCGAGCTGGGCACGGGCACGCACTCCGTCATATTCTGACTCTTCTTGCTGCGTGTTTCCTCTGGGAAAGCCGTCGGGATAATGGGATCCAGACTGTCCGCAACATTGGTAATGTTGTGATGATCGCCGGTGAAGTTCAATCGTGATAACTCGATCGCCAACTGCGCGAACCGCGGGTCCTCCAGGCCTCCGCCCACCGCGGAGCGCTCCATGTCGAACAGGCTCGCGGGCATCACAGGAAGATTGAGTCGATGTTCGTCAAATTAAAATAAAAAGCACACAGCACTCCACTGTCGTGGAACTGGTAATGTTTCCCGGCAATAAAACGATCACTGTATAAAAATAAAGCTCTTGCGACTACGCGGGGAAGTGTTCGGTCGGCTCGCTGCCGAAGCAATGCGGACAGGGCGGGCGTCTGCTCGTATTTTGGCCCGGCTCGGGCTGGCAGCGGAGCGCATGTGCTCGCTGGCCGCATGGGATCCTCGCCGGCGGCACCCGAGCGCACCCGAACGTCTTCGCGCGCTCGGCCAGATTTGAATGTCGGCTCCCCATTGGCTGGCGGCCGGCGTCGCGACGCGCCGACTCGGCCGCTCATTGG